GACGGAATTATGACGTCGCAAATTGTGACAGATTCTAGTTAATCATAGGCATCACAGTTTGTGACGGATTTTCTTCGTCGCAAACAATCCCTCTCAAATAGCGAGGGATTTAATCCCTCTCAAATAGCGAGGGATTCTTTCATCACAATTTGTGAGGGATTTTGTGTCATCACAATTTGTGACGGACTCACATATCTCTCAATCCCTCTCAAATAGCGAGGGATTTAATCCCTCTCAAATAGCGAGGGATTTAATCCCTCACAAATTGCGAGGGATTTAATCCCTCACAAATTGCGACGAATTTTTATTAATTTCTAAACATTTATTGTTACAAATTAGTGACAGAAATTATATTGTTTGTGATGCTTTAATTCTGTCAGTAATTGTGACGGAGAAAATAATCCGTCACTAAATATTTTGTGACGCCAAATTTTGTGACGAAATCATTTTCGTCACAAATTCCGTCACTAACTTATTTGTGACGGATTTTTTGAAGATTAGTGACGAATTTTTTTCATCTCTAATTTTAATTTTTCTAGAAGTGAACGGGTCATTCTAGACGCATTAAATTTGTGTTAATTGTGTATCTGGAACGGCCCGTTCTAGTTTCAAAACGGGTCGCTCCAGATGCATTAAAGAAGGACTTTTTAGGCATTGACCTTTAGTTTACCATCATATTAGTATAAATATTTATCGATTTTATCCAAAATTACTATCGATTTTTTATGGTTGTAGTTTAGGTTAGAAAAATTATGAATAACTGAGTCAATAGTTAATTTGTGTTAATATATAGATAATGAATCGAAGTTGGATGAATGCAAGTCACATTAGTTAAGAGTACAAAAATGGAGTTGAAGAGTTCTTGCAATTTGCAAGAGAAAATGGGAAACCCATCAAAGAGGCATATTATTGTCCATGTCACTAGTACAAAAGAGGCATTTTACATCGGACATTTTGAGCTTTTTACGTCAGAAAAAACACTGACATAAAAGCAGGAGACGTAAATTTACGTCGGATCTGTAAAACTGAAGTAAATTTACGTCGGACATTACGGAATCCAACGTAAAAAAGTAGTAAAAAAAACATAAGAATGAAAGCAGAACGACCCGTTCTGCTTGGAGTACAGGCCATTCTACTTGCAGAACGGGCCGTTCTGCAAGCAGAACAAGCCATAATGATTCGTAGAACAACCCAAAAGAAAACGCCAACGACCTACACAAATAGAACAACCAAAAAATTGAATAAACAGATAGCCACAGTTGCAATACAAAGTAGAAAAGTGTTAACGAAACCTTGATTCATACCTGATGAGCAGCAACAATGTGCGAATGAGTAACAAAGAGTTTATCCATCTGCAAAAGACAAAAAAAAATGATTCAGTAACAAAGGAGAGGGAAAGGGTTTACAGAGAAAAAAACAAAAAGTGATGAAGAGTGAATGTGTGCGCTATGCCTCGCGCTCTCTTATTCAAATTTACGTCATTTTTTACGTTAGACCTAGTAGGGTCCGACGTAAAATGTCAAATCTATGTCGGACACAACATACTTCCGATGTAGATTTGACTTTTTAACTCAGATCCTACCAGGTCTGACGTAAAAAAGTTCGCAAAATTTACAAAAGTGCCACAGCATTTTTTTTACGTCAGATTTTCGTATTTCTGACGTAAAAGTGACGGATTTTTTGAAGATTAGTGACGAATTTTTTTCATCTCTAATTTTAATTTTTCTAGAAGTGAACGGGTCATTCTAGACGCATTAAATTTGTGTTAATTGTGTATCTGGAACGGCCCGTTCTAGTTTCAAAACGGGTCGCTCCAGATGCATTAAAGAAGGACTTTTTAGGCATTGACCTTTAGTTTACCATCATATTAGTATAAATATTTATCGATTTTATCCAAAATTACTATCGATTTTTTATGGTTGTAGTTTAGGTTAGAAAAATTATGAATAACTGAGTCAATAGTTAATTTGTGTTAATATATAGATAATGAATCGAAGTTGGATGAATGCAAGTCACATTAGTTAAGAGTACAAAAATGGAGTTGAAGAGTTCTTGCAATTTGCAAGAGAAAATGGGAAACCCATCAAAGAGGCATATTATTGTCCATGTCACTAGTACAAAAGAGGCATTTTACATCGGACATTTTGAGCTTTTTACGTCAGAAAAAACACTGACATAAAAGCAGGAGACGTAAATTTACGTCGGATCTGTAAAACTGAAGTAAATTTACGTCGGACATTACGGAATCCAACGTAAAAAAGTAGTAAAAAAAACATAAGAATGAAAGCAGAACGACCCGTTCTGCTTGGAGTACAGGCCATTCTACTTGCAGAACGGGCCGTTCTGCAAGCAGAACAAGCCATAATGATTCGTAGAACAACCCAAAAGAAAACGCCAACGACCTACACAAATAGAACAACCAAAAAATTGAATAAACAGATAGCCACAGTTGCAATACAAAGTAGAAAAGTGTTAACGAAACCTTGATTCATACCTGATGAGCAGCAACAATGTGCGAATGAGTAACAAAGAGTTTATCCATCTGCAAAAGACAAAAAAAAATGATTCAGTAACAAAGGAGAGGGAAAGGGTTTACAGAGAAAAAAACAAAAAGTGATGAAGAGTGAATGTGTGCGCTATGCCTCGCGCTCTCTTATTCAAATTTACGTCATTTTTTACGTTAGACCTAGTAGGGTCCGACGTAAAATGTCAAATCTATGTCGGACACAACATACTTCCGATGTAGATTTGACTTTTTAACTCAGATCCTACCAGGTCTGACGTAAAAAAGTTCGCAAAATTTACAAAAGTGCCACAGCATTTTTTTTACGTCAGATTTTCGTATTTCTGACGTAAAAGGGGTGACGTAATATGCTTATTTTCCACTAGTGTGTGTTCGTTGTTTGAATCAGATACGTCAAGAAGTTGGGGAAATACGTGATCACCTGTTTATATTTGGTATTGTGAAGAGTTATACAGTATGAACATGGCACGGAGAAATATTAGACATTCCAACGGTGTCAACAGCTGAAAATTTTGAAGGGATGGACGATAATTTAGAAAAGATGATACGTGATGTTGGTGAAGAAAATTTTGAAAGAGCACATGTGTATGATACCTTAAAGTCTGATTTTGAGCAACCATTGTACCCAAGATGCAGTATGTTTACAAGATTATCAACAACTTTAAGATTGTTTAGTTTAAAAGCAAGAAATGGCAGATTCTAGTTAATCATAGGCATCACAGTTTGTGACGGATTTTCTTCGTCGCAAACAATCCCTCTCAAATAGCGAGGGATTTAATCCCTCTCAAATAGCGAGGGATTCTTTCATCACAATTTGTGAGGGATTTTGTGTCATCACAATTTGTGACGGACTCACATATCTCTCAATCCCTCTCAAATAGCGAGGGATTTAATCCCTCTCAAATAGCGAGGGATTTAATCCCTCACAAATTGCGAGGGATTTAATCCCTCACAAATTGCGACGAATTTTTATTAATTTCTAAACATTTATTGTTACAAATTAGTGACAGAAATTATATTGTTTGTGATGCTTTAATTCTGTCAGTAATTGTGACGGAGAAAATAATCCGTCACTAAATATTTTGTGACGCCAAATTTTGTGACGAAATCATTTTCGTCACAAATTCCGTCACTAACTTATTTGTGACGGATTTTTTGAAGATTAGTGACGAATTTTTTTCATCTCTAATTTTAATTTTTCTAGAAGTGAACGGGTCATTCTAGACGCATTAAATTTGTGTTAATTGTGTATCTGGAACGGCCCGTTCTAGTTTCAAAACGGGTCGCTCCAGATGCATTAAAGAAGGACTTTTTAGGCATTGACCTTTAGTTTACCATCATATTAGTATAAATATTTATCGATTTTATCCAAAATTACTATCGATTTTTTATGGTTGTAGTTTAGGTTAGAAAAATTATGAATAACTGAGTCAATAGTTAATTTGTGTTAATATATAGATAATGAATCGAAGTTGGATGAATGCAAGTCACATTAGTTAAGAGTACAAAAATGGAGTTGAAGAGTTCTTGCAATTTGCAAGAGAAAATGGGAAACCCATCAAAGAGGCATATTATTCGAATTAATGAACATAACAAGATTTTCTTAGCTTGGTTTAAGAAAAAGGTTTACGGTGAGGTTAATGTTTCTGATACACGTTTGAGAATCGCTCGTGGGCCTAACAACGATGTCATTACATTTGGTGGGTATGACATTAACAAATATTGTTTCTATACAAAGATATAAGATGACAAAAGTAGAGTACAAAACAGTGGGGTTACAATTCAGGCTGAGCCTGTGCACTTTGCTAGCTCTAAAGATAAAAATCCCATTACAACATCCATGAGTTATTTCGAAGTCATACAAGACATATGGGAAATTGATTATGTTACGTTTAGAGTGCCTATGTTCAAGTGTAAATGGGTTGATGGCAATACGGGTGTACAGATAAATGATTTAGGATTTACTTTGGCTGATTTGAAAAAGGTCGGTTATAAGGATGAACCTTTTATTATGGCATATCAAGCAGGACAAATTTTTTATGTCAGGGATCCAAGTAATGATAAATGGTCAGTGGTTCTCGAAGGAAGAACCATGCATGGAACTCACAAAGATGAGTCTCTAGATATGCATGAGACACCATCTTTCTCAATCATATCATTTGGTCCTATTGCGGACAATGAAGCGGACGAAATACATGCTATTCGAAGTGATCATGATGAAGGAATATGGGAAAACATACCAACCTAATAGTTTTCTGTTTGTGTATTATTTGTGTTTTTATTAGTTGTTTTGTTGTTATATTGTTATTATCTTTTTTACTTTATTTGTCTATTCAGTTAATTCATTGTTTTAATAATGAGAGTCTAATTTTTTCAGGATTATGGAGGATTCAGGGTCTGCCAGTGGAAGGAGGGAAGGTAGATCTGTCACCCGATTGTCTAGGTTGATAGCTAGACACATTGCCAAGGAGAGGACACCGGTTAAGGTGGATCCTCGTTTTGGCAAGGCGTCAGGCCCAAATGCTGCCAAGTTTAAGAGCTATTTAGGAGTCCTAGCTCGACGTCATGTTTCTATTATCATTCCATCATGGGATGACGTTGAAGAGGTTGACAAGAACCTCATGTGACAGGATATTCAGGTATATACTTTCACATCCCTTCAATATTATATAACTTAGAGACATTATTTATTATTTGTTATTATTTTGATAGCAAAATTTTGACATTCCCAACACTGAGGTCATGAGGAGGAAGATGTTATCTGCCCTTGCCACTAGGTGGAGAGACTTCAAGACTTTCTTGACACAGGAGTAGGTATTTGGAGAGCGACAAAATAAGACTCCCTGTCTAAAGTACTAGATCACTAATGAGAAGTGGATGCAATTTCGTGCCACTCGATTGGACCCTTCTTGGAAGGTTAGTTATTGATAACTCTTACATTAACACAAATACTTAAGGTATATTTTAATTAATCTCATTTTCTTTTTTGTATTATTGCAGACCAAAAGAATAGCTACCCAAGAATAACAAAGCAAGAATGATGCACTCCATCTATTGTCAACAGGGGGATATGAATTAAAAAAAAAAATGATGAAGGCTAGGGCAGAGGCAGCATGGTTTCAGTCTGCTGACCGTGTGGAGTCACCTCCCTGCCATGAGATGTGGATAGCAGCCTGAACAAAATCAGATGGGCAAATGACTTCTAAGTCTGCAAGGATCATTGCTGATAAAATAGTAAGTAAAAATATACAAACTAAGACTCTTTATTTCAACTCATTTAATTCATAACTGTAGTTTAAGGTATACTTATTGTTAATATGTTGCAGGAGGGTTTAGTTGAGCAGACCACCAGGGCTCATTTGTTTCCCATGGTTGGGATGATATCCTCATAACGGCCATAGAAAGGCTAGAGAACGCAGGTCGTGTGCGTGGTGTTACTGATTAATAAAGGCAATAATATTTAAATTTATTGACTTTGGAAATAATAGTTATTTGTTTCTAATTTTAGAGTAATAAGCAATAAAACTTCGTTTGAATGTGGCTATTACATCATGCATTGGATGAGAGCCATAGTTTCTGCAGGTATTACTGATTCTTGGGCGCAAGGAATTCATATCAAAATTTATTTAAGTATATTTACCTTTACGATAATTAACATTGCATATTAATGACACTTAAATTAATGTATCAGGTCTTTTAAGATCCATTTTCATTGCCCGAAGATGAGATCATCAAGATAAGAGAACAATGGGCAACTTTTTTTCTTCAAAGTATATAATAGTTAGATTTCTAAGTTTAGTTAGTTAGATATTATGTTTCTAGTTTGATAGCATTGACAATAGATTTTTTAGGATAATAGGATTTAAATTGTCATAATTTATGCTTTTTAAGATTTATATATTATTTTCTTTTTGTCATTCAATTTTGAAATATAATTTGAATTTGTATTCTGGACTGCCTGTTTTAGGTTTTGTATTTTGGACAATATGCAGGTTTTGGGTATATCAAAAAATAACAAAATAATTTTTAAAAAAAATGCCAAAATTTACGTCGGACTATACCATAGCCGACGTAAATTTACGTCGGACCTAGCACTTGCCGACGTAAATTTACGTCGGACATGGTGTAGTCAGACATAAATTCTTGCGTATATTTTTTAACACATGAAACCCTTTTTTACGTCGGTCATAGGGCATGTTCGACGTAAATTTACGTCGTCTGTTGTTATGTCGTTTGGCAAGTGTACCAAATCGTATAA